TCTCGCAACAATCACCAGACCCCGGAGTTCTTCAGCTGGCTCCCGGACCCGGAGAGCAAGGCGACAGACGCATTTCTCCAACAATGGCCGACGACAGGAGCCTACGCCTTTCCCCCATTCTCCATGATTGCGAGAACACTACACCAGATGCGGACACAACAGATCAAACTGGTTGTCATAACGCACTTGTGGCAGAGCCAACCATGGTTCCCGGACCTCCTGGCCTCCTCCTGCAGGGAAGACTGGCTACCCCTGGTGGCTTGGTCTCTTTCCGGGGTTCCTGGCGAGTCAGCGGACTATCGCAGGCTGCTAGGGACCTCTTATGGGACTCATGGGCCCCGGGAACTAGACGCTGTTACCTTTCAGCTTGGGCCTCCTGGTCTACTTGGTGCATGCAACGGGACTCCGATCCCTTTACAGCACCTGTTCCCATGATTCTTAATTTTCTTTCCTCCTTGTTTTCATCTGGCCGCTCTTACCGTTCGGTCAACGTCGTTCGCTCCGCGATTTCGGCAGCTCACACCCCCGTCGGGGATCTCCCGGTCGGCAAAGACCCTCTGGTCTGCCGTCTACTCCGCGGTATGCGGCTCCGCCGCCCCCCGGCCCCCAGATGCCCTCACCTATGGGATGTAGGACTGGTTCTCCGTTTTTTCTGGGATTGGCCTCTCCCTACGCCAACTGTCCGCTAAGTGCGCTTTTCTCCTTTGCCTAGTATCTTTACGACGGGTTTCGGACGTTCGGGCCTTCGACGTGGACGCTTTTGAGGTGGCCCCGGAAGGAGTCACGTTCCACATTTCCTGTCGCACTAAGTCGGGTTCGACTTCGGTCTTCTACCCCTTTTTCCCCGACGACCCGCAACTCTGTGTCGTGTCCACCCTTTGCAGGTATGTTTCCGTTACCTCCTCACTCCGATCCTCTATGTCGGGCCAACTCCTAGTCTCCTACGTGCGCCCTCACGCCCCAGTCTCGGTCACCACACTGGCCCGATGGATCCGCTGGATTCTTTCCCTCGCAGGTATAGACCCCGCATTCGGCGCCCACTCTGTTCGCGGAGCGCGGCCTCATCAGCCTTCCTGGCAGGGGCGTCCCTTTTGGATATTCTCCGAACGGCGGACTGGTCTAGGGAATCCACTTTCCGCACATTTTACTTTTGCACTCCCCCTTCTGCTGGGATGTCTCTTCTTCAGCGTTAAAATTGCAAAATAGGAAGCCTCCTGTCATGTTATAAAATTGAAGATTATGCTAGCTTTAGTGTACTAATAATCTTAATTTTAATAAGGACAGGAGGCGAGTATTTTCCCTCCCTTTTGTTCCCTACCCTGACTCCTCGGGGGAGTGGATCTTAAGGTGACGGATTTTGGGATTCATGTTAATAGTTACTCTATCTTCTGGACATATTCGGTATCCCTTCCATCTCTATGTGTTTCCACCTAGACGGACAGTTTAGTTGTACAACATGCTTACACCTAACACATATTTAGCCTATGGCCAGCTTACAATCTGTCTGTACTGTTTAATTTACACCATTCTGTTAAAGCCCACAGGCGTGAACAGTTACGGTTCAGTACCTAACCGATTTTATACTCTCCTTTCAGTGTAACCCTCTTCAGGACCTCCACTGGTCGCTGGTTCGTTAACCTCACGACTCCGTAAGATGGGATGACGGCTTCGTTTGGTCTTTCCTCCTATCTCGTTACCAGGAGTCTCCTCAAGTTCCGCTCGCCAGAGACCGCAGTTACTGTTTCATTGAGTTTCTGGATGTTCGAGCTCTATCTGGACTTGGATGTCGCTTTAAGAAAGAGGAAGTGTACAGGCAGCATGACCCTTATATACTATGCTGCTCAGTGATCTATTTGTTACTCTTTACGTTTTTCTTTACTGCTGTGGAGTTTAGTAAAGAGAGTTAATGCAAAATAGGAAGCCTCCTGTCCTTATTAAAATTAAGATTATTAGTACACTAAAGCTAGCATAATCTTCAATTTTTGCTTGCATGAATATCCAACCTTCAGACTGGTGGGGTTATCTCATTTCCTGCTGGACTACACAACTATAGCCCTCATGAATATGCTGATAGCAACATAGACACTAGGCTAAGTTATCCAAGATGACCAGTGCAAACAAGCATGCTACAGAGGGTCTGGCGCCATGACAGCCCAACCCAGCAAACTCACGTATTCAAGACCTTCCTAAGTTAGATAACATACATAAGAAAGTCTGGGCAAGGCTGGATGAGAGTATAAGTCGGTATTGTGCACAGGGGCTTTGGAGGCCCCATCCTGGCAAATCTGCTTTCAGGGGTCCTCAATTTCTACTTTACTGTCTACCTAGCTGAGAGCCCCTAAGAGTCCAACCCCAACACACTATCCACATAAGCGGAGGAATACTTAGCATTAACAGCAATTTAAAAGACAACACTCATGGTCCTTTCTCAGTTTCCCTGACGGGAGGGTCTTGGGCTCTGCGAGTCACAAGACGATACATCAGGGATATGATAGAAACATTTAAATACATAAAAGGAATCAACACAGTAAAGGAGGGGACTATATTATATAATATAAAGAAGAAAAACTACCACAACCAGAGGATATAGTCTTAAATTAGAGGGGCAAAGGTTTAAAAATAATATCAGGTAGTATTACTTTACTGAGAGTGTAGTGAAGTGGTAGAGGATAACACAGTGAAGGAGTTTAAGCAGGCCAGGAACTAATGAGAGTATAAGGAAAATTGGGCAGACCAGATGGGCCGAATATTTCTTACCCATCACATTCTATGTTTCAATATTTACTGTTAATGTTATCTTCATTTATTGAATTCTAACATGAAACATAAAATGTTAGTTTTTTTCTAAAATACTTTTTTGACACAAAAATTAAATAGAAATCTTCCTTCGAGGTATAGAGCAGTGTAGCTTTATTTAATAAATTATCACTTCTTCTGGGGTTTCGGCCCCTTACCAATCAACTATAAATCTGGCCCTCTAAACTATGCAGGCTCTGCCACATGGACTTAAATGAAGGTTATATAAGTGTCATTTCCATTGTACAATGCTACGGAATCTGATGGTGCTAAATAAATAATAAAATAATAATAATAATTATCTCTGCCATGTTAGTTTCCCCCAGACTCCAAGTCTCCATGTTTCTCTTTCCTAGTAACCACTTTTCCTTTCACAGTAACCACTCTCCATTATGAACATCTCTCACACCATCCCATCTCCCATTTCAGTGTGATGAAGTAGTGTTTATCTTGCTCTTGACCTTCAGATAGGATCTTGCTCTTGACCTTCAGATAGTGTGTTTCTAACTTTATATGCCATTGTACAACTGCCTGACAATTTTTAAGACTCACACACTGCCCTTCCAATCTGCCCAAGCAGCTGAGAAGGTAGACGTCACTAAGCATGCAGGTTGTTTGCAGGTCGCCCTGCCAATATTTATACAGCTTCTAGGCATGCTTTCGGGGTGTCTCATTACTTCAGGCAGATTTAGTGGCAGCGAGGCTTCGTTACCACTAGTGTTAACGGTATCTTTCATCCTACATTAGTGGTTGACCTTTTGGAAGCCTAGATGCTACCATCTGAGACTGCCATTGTCAAATGCCAGGCACACACTAACAACACAGATGACATTTCTATGGGAAATACATAAGCAGACATGGTTGTTGAACTTGTGGCTCGGGAAGGCACAGAATACTATAACCCCAACTTCCTGCAGGATCAGCAGGCCTCATCTCTCTCCACAGGCATGGTGCCTGCATTTATGGGTAACACTGACTTAATCTACCTTCAAGTATGTGTTGAACTGGACAATCTTGTTTTCTGGACATCTGATCTGACTTGTAATCAATTTGTTCTCTGGTTAGACAAAGAAGGGAAAATAGGTATATCTAAGGATGCAGCCCCATTGTTTGTTCTACATTTCTATGGTTTTGGTCAAAGGGACAGACTCTATGAACCTAACACCTCTGTGTTTGTTATTCATTGGGTATCCCCCATTGCTGCAAGAATGGTTCAGGTTAAATCAGAGATCTCTAAATTGAAGTCCATGGCATTCTGGTCTATCGTATACGAGGGTCTCCAACACCGAAAATCATTTTCTTACACATAATGTCCCCTTCTCCACCCCAATTCAATTCAGATCATCACTTCTGATGATGTCAGCTAAGGAAGCAGATCAGGGGCAGAGCCAGCACCAGCAGACTGGAATAAAGGTAAGATTTTACTATATTTACAGGTGTAAGGGGGGACCAGGGGTGCTAGATAGTGATTTATACAATATAGGGTACAGGATACATGTTTGCTTTCCTGACCCAGTAGTGTTTAAAATTAATTACAATTTTAATGTTATAAACCTGAATTGATAGTTACATACGTTACACAAGTCAAATTATTATTTTGCTATATTATATTTCATTTTTAGGATGTCTTTACACTTTTCTGGTTTGTTTTAAGAGTGACAAACATAGCTAAAACAAAACTGAAAACTTATATAAACCGATATAAAATAAAGCTCCAGAGTTTCTTCACTTTGAGAGAAATCAATGTAACTTGACCTCACCTCTGTCTGTTTTTTTACAACCGACTCACAAATTAGATTTGACTGTGGGTAAAGAAGTGCACAGAGGCATTCTTATTGACATTCTTCAATTTTTAACAGACCTGGTCAAAGAAAAGAAGAAAAAGCCAAAATAAATACACTATGTTCTCTGTACAGCTCCAGAATCATTATTGCATTTGCTGTCACAACTGAGTAACGTATACTTTTATAAAAATAACATTAAAACTTTCCGCTTGGGGATATTTTCTTTTTTTTAGGAAAAACCAGACCTCACCAAATCCGTATGGATGCCTCCACAAAGAATTGCCGACAAGGGATTGGTTACCAGTAGTGATGTCCCAAACGGTTCGCCGAACGGTTCGCCATAGAGGGCTAACATATGCGCTGTTCGGTCCGCCCACTATGTCTTTATTGAGTAAACTTTGACCCTGTACCTCACAGTCAGCAGACACATTCCAGCCAATCAGCAGCAGACCCTCCCTCCCAGACCCTCCCACCCCCTGACAGCATCCATTTTACATTCATTGTGAAGCTGCATTCTTAGTGAGCTGTCCAGGAGGTGGGAGGGTCTGGGAGGGAGGGTCTGCTGCTGATTGGCTGGAATGTGTCTGCTGACTGTGAGGTACAGGGTCAAAGTTTACTCAATGATGACGAATAGGGGGCGGACCGAACAGCGCATATGTTCGTCATCCGCAGCGAACCGTTCGGCGAACCGTTCGGCGAACCGTTCGGGACATCACTAGTTACCAGTCCTACACTTGCTTAGTCTGCTAGATCGCTAGTTACCCAGGGATCCCACATTTTTTCTAATTTCTTTATTCAATTAAGTTATTTATGAGACAGGTATCCTTTATTTTAGTTATGGCCACTGGAAAGGGGTATGTCTATGACAGTGGCGTACATACCAGGGTCGCAGGGGTCGCGGCTGCGACCGGGCCTGGCCCACCAGCGGGCCCGGCCGCCCCTGCGACCCGGTATGTAGCCACAGGGCCAGCCTCTTCCCCTGGGGGGCCCAGGAGCCGGTCGGGCGGGCAGGCAGGCGCGCGAGGGAGCACTCAGTGCTTCCTCTTCCACTCCCTCGCGCACCGCACTGATACCGGAGCCGGAAGATGACGTCATCTACCGGCGCCGGCATCCCTACGCGGCACCCGACCGGCCACCCGCCCAGGAGCCCAGCAGCACCACTGGACCCCATGGAATCCCCCCAGCACTCCAAAAGGTAAGGAGGCTGGGGGGATTAATTAAAAAAAAAAAGTGTGTGTGTGTTTGTGTGTGTTAGAGTATATGTGTGTTAGTGTTTTAGTGTGTATGTGTGTGTTTGTGTGTGTTAGAGTATGTGTGTTAGTGTATGTGTGTGTGTGTATGTGTGTGTTAGAGTGTGTGTTAGTGTATGTGTGTGTTAGTGTATGTGTATGTATGTGTGTGTGTGTGTTAGTGTGTCAGTGTTTGTGTTAGTGCGTGTGTTAGTGTGTGTGTCAGTGAATGTGTCTGTTATTGGGTGTGTGTCTGCTAGTGAGTGTGTTACTGTGTGTGTCTGTTACTGAGTGTGTTTGATATCTGTTAGTGAGTGTGTGTTTGTCAGTGAAAGTGTATGTTTTGTAAGTGAGTGTGTATGTATGTCTCGCTGAGTGTGTCTCTGTCAGTAAATGTGTGTCTGTTAGCTAGTGTGTATGCGTCTGTTCGTGAGAGTGTGTGTGTGTGTCTTCAGCATTTACCTTTCTCCAGCGTCGGACTCCCCAGTGTCCGCCTTTCAGCTCCGAATGCACATGCGCTGCAAGAGGCGCGCGCGCATTTAAACCGCCCATAGGAAAGCATTACTCAATGCTTTCCTATGGACGTTCAGTGTCTTCTCATTGTGATTTTCACAGTGAGAATCGCGGAAGCTCCTCTAGCAGCTGTCAATGAGACAGCCACCAGAGGCTGGATTAACCTCAGTGAAACATAGCCGTTTCTCTGAAACGGCTATGTTTTCAGCTGCAGGGTTAAAACTAGAGGGACCTGGCACCCAGACCACTTCATTGAGCTGATGTGATCTGGGTGTCTGTAGTGGTCCTTTAAGTGTGTGTGCATACCGCGGTCGCGGGGTCGCAGCCCTGCAACCCCTGCGACCAGGTGCCCGCCACCATGTGTTGCGACCCCGACCCGCGCCGAGTAAGTGCGGGGGTGGGGGTGGGGGGGCCCACGGATCAATTTTTGCACCGGGCCCCATGGGTCATGTGTACGCCACTGGTCTATGACCTTATGTACTTGCATTTGTTTGGATTTGGTGCAGCCTACCAATAATCTGTTTAACAGATATACCCAGGGATTTAGGTCAGGTGCTGGTTGGAAGATTTGGAACTAATAAATCCCTGATCGCTCCCAGAATACCTGAGCTTGGGGCAGTGCCAACACATGTGGATGTACGAGCCTCTGAGGCCACATCCCCTCCAGCATACCTCTGTTGGTAACTTTTCTATAAGGTACAATTTAACTGGAGTGGTGTACCACCTAAACATTGTTTTAAAATATTGTTCCTGTAGGTACGTACATATAGTAGTGGCATTGTTAGCTTCCCACATGTCTTGCCATTCAATACCTTCTAGCTCTTCATTCAAGTGTTTTTCCAATTGTTCTATATAAGTTAAGGGTCCCCAATTCTTAGTTTCTGAGCAGAGATAAGTGTATAACAAGAGGATTTGGCCTCTTTGCATGGATTTGTTCATACTCATCCTCTCAAAGAAGGACATTAGTTTGTGTGCTGCTTACTTAATGTTAGGGTGTTCTACAAGTTTTTAATTTGTAAGTACCTAAAGAAATCAGATGGAGTAAGGTGGGCTCTATATTTGAGATCCTCAAACTGTATTATCCTCCCATTTTCAAGCCTGCTGTTTGTAAGTGTCTAAAATCATGTGCTGACACACCCTGGAAAGAAGGGGATGATGCTAAATCCTACTTCTTGACCCCTTTGCTAAGGTCATCAGTGGTGAAGGGGATGATACTACATCATACTTCTTGCCCGAAGCATCCCAAACTCTGAGTTGAGTATAGCTGGGCAGGTCGTTCATAGCATCGTTCTATTCTCTTTGGGTACCCACATAAAGAATTGAGGGAGGTCTGCTCTCATCAACAGCGATTCAAGATCTACCAATTTCCTTTCCTCCAAAGAAGCAACATGGACTAGTTGTGCCACTACACAGTAAAACTAGATGCAGTAGCCCCTGTCCTTCCCTAAGTTTTGGGTAGTAGAGAATATTTTGTGATATCCTAAGTCATTTGTTCTGCCAAACGAATAAACCATTTGCTCTTCGTAGGGGTGCTAGATCAGTTTTGGTTATGGAAAGAGGCAGAGCATGAAAGAGGAATAGGATATGCGGTAGTATGTTCATTTTAACAGAATGAATTCGACCAATCCACAAAATTTTCCATGTCACCCACTATAGTTGAACTCATATAGTTTGTAAGGGTCTGCCGGTAATTGAATACCTAAGTATTTAATATATTGGTGTGCTATCTGGATACATTGATTGTTGTGTATCAATGCCATATTCGCCGCAGTCATATTCATCGGGAAGGCACTAGATTTCTCCATATTGTCTCTATATCCTGAAATCGTTCCATATTGCGCAAGCACCTCCCTAAGGGCCTCCATTGATTCCCCCCTGGGTTTGTTATGGTAAAGAAGTACATAATTCTCATAAGCAGATACTAAACATTCCTGGCCTCCAACTTTAATCCCCTGTGTAAGAGGATATCTACACAACATCTGCAGGAGGGACTCCAATGATAAAACTAAAAGGAGAGGGGAAAACGAGCATCACTGCCTCATCCTGGTACCCAATTGAAAAGGCTATGGATGGGCTCTGGTTATTTCTACGTGCACTGTAACATTACTATACATTGCTCTTATAGAAGTTGGGTATGTTTCAGGAAAGCCCAAGAAAGATAAAAGGTTAATAAGATAGGGCAACATGACTCTTTTGAATTCTTTCTCAGCATCGATAGAGACAACCAGGGTGGTTGTGTTAGTAGCAACTTGTAGTCAAATGAGGTCTGTGTTCCTGCAGGTCTTCTCAAACAGTTGTCTTTTGGGGATAAAGCCAACTTGGTCAGAATTAATTAGTCTCGTTAAGAAAGGGTTCAATCTATCAGCAAATATTTTTGCTAAAATCTTTGTATTGTGATTTATAAGTGAGATAGGCCAATCATGCTCTGGGAGCAGGGGATCCTTGCCTGGCTTTGGTATAAGGACTATATTAACTAAGGACTTTTCCCTATCTGGGAGTAACCCTTGTCTGAGCTCCAATCGAGGTGTTAGTTCTTCCCTGAAGATTTTTTTAATACCCCATCAAAGTCATCTGGCCCTGGGGCTTTATTCCTCGTTAGTCCAGAAATGGCATCATCAATCTCCTCTCTGGATATTTAATTTTTACTGGATGCCCACAGTCACATTGGCCAAACCTGGTCTTCTCCATCAGGAGAAGCTAAATTTCTCTCTTAGGCATTTGGCTTCTTCTCCTCAGGAAAGCTGGATATGGTATGGGTACCTAGGGGATAAAGGTATACTAAACCATACTAAAACTATTATAGTGGGCTGTATTGATTATGGTGCTTGGAATATTTCTTTAATAGAAGAGGAATGCAGAGCATAGTTTTAAAATTTTTAGAGTCACGCATTGCTGTTTGTAAAGGTTATCTTTATAACCTAAATTGTGGAAACTGAAGTCATAAAGCTCAAGGGAAAGCTTTATACAGTGGTTCATTATGTGAGTGTGCATGGGCGGGAATGGAAATTATAATTGCTTATAAATATGGCACTGTCAAAAGTTCTCTATTGCATACATGTGTAGGGGGATATATTATAGGATAAAGTTCTTTTTTTTTCTTTCAGCTAGAATGTATGGTATAATGATTTGATCTATAATCACAATTTATGTCACCTGGTGATTTGAGTTTGAACCAAGAAGGATCAAGCCACAGATTCAATAATCAATTTAACTGTTTCACACACTTGTTTTAGTTAAGCTACAGCAATTTCTCAACAAACTAAAATTCATAAATGATCATTTGCATCTATTTTGTATTCAACCCATGCTTTTTCATCTCCTTATGATGAAAGAAGGCATGTTCATGCACAAAATTAGACAAATTACTGTTTTCTTTAATTGGTTTGAAAATGTAATATAATGCATAGTCTACAAGCGGCCTCACGCCTTCTGCTTCTTATGCTAATTCATGATTAGAGCATATTACCTAAACAGAAGAATTACATGACTGTTGCAAACTTGTTTGGAATTTTGTTTTGCATATATGTTACCATATGGTTGGATTTGCAAATAGTGAGTTGTGGTATAATGACAAACCAGATAAAATGTGTAGATATTTCTTGCACAATTATTTCGGTCTAACTTCTAAAAGTCCGTTGGCAATGCACCCTCTGTTTAGTGAATATATATCCTTATTCTTTGTTCATAGTGAATAGAAAACAAAATATCAGGGGGGTGAACATGACCCAGCATTGCACAGGCAAACTTGAGTTTGGATCCAGAAATTCTCAGATTTAATCTGCCAGAATCCCAGCAAAATAACACCATGCACAGATTAACACATGTAAGGTATACCTGCAAAACAC